CGCTTGCCGCCACCTTCGCCTCGAGCAATCCCAAACCCTTCCCCAGCGCAGGCACTGCGGTCCTGATGGAAATGCTGCTCGCTAATGTAATCACGTATTGCACCCTTTTTGCTTACTTGCTCTCAGAACCGATGTAAATCCTCTATGGGCCTTCCTCTGCCGAAAGTTAGATGCAATTCGATGCCCGCCCCTGAGGATCTGACTGCTTGGGAAAAAAAATTGGAAAAAAACCCCCAGTGCTGTGCGGTATGCAAGGTGTGCAAATAAATGCCATCAGCTGGAGAGTTTATACCACAAAAGAGCAGAAAGAGTGCTGTCAAACACTACCTGAGGTAGCGCCACCTCAGTTTCCCCCCATACTCTGACAGCAGCTGAATCTTCGCCCACGTAACTGTCCCACCGACAATGTCAAACTCGTCCAATTTATTTCAGCGCTTGCTGACATGCCGGCTCATCTCTGCTTGAAACGCTGGGCGACCCTCCTGCCTCCCTCGGCTTTGTCTTATTGACAAGACCAAAACACCTTGCATCAGCCCAAACAGGGCAGTAACAAAGAAAATGGAAGTGGCAGAACAAAAGAAGGCTTTGCTAAAAAAAAGGGATTGGAAGTAGGAATCAATAGAAAGTCAGGGACTAGAGAAACAGGTGAAAATCTTTTGGGGAAGAAAGGGATGCTACGTTTTTTGGCTGAGCTACATCCTCCTCCCTGGATTCATGGCAAAGAAGGGAAAACCTGTGAAATTTGCCTCTCCTCTCACCCTTCTACTACAATGTGTAAATATGACCCGCTCTTATTTTGCACTGAAAAAAATAAGAGGTTTTGGAGCACCTGACAGTCCTGGGACCTCACCAAATCTCTACTCTAATAATGTATGCAAGCATAATTCTTGGGTGTAGGTTGAAGGAAAAAGCTCAGCAGAGTTCTGAACTTCTGCGTAGCCTTGGCTGTCCAAATTGTGGTGGAGATCTTACACCAGGTCCACCAGGTTAAAAATGTATTGATGAGGAATCCCTTCCTGCCACCTGTGCTTAGGCTAGTACTTGATAACTGATAATATTACTAAAAACTGCAGGGTAGGCTTGTACGAACAGCTGGCACATCTCAGCTACATATCTCACAGTGTTTCACACCTCAGGCTTACGCTATTAATTGTACAGTAAATGTAGACTAAACAGTATAGAGTAATTCTGACCAGTTTATTTGAGGGAAAAATACCTTTCCGTTCATGCAGTCGATCTGTTGCTTTTGCAAAAAGGGCTTGCACTGAGAAATTCTTTGGGATATTGTGGGGTGCAAGCAAACACAAAGGGCACAGTCACCTGCTGGTAGACAACTCTTGTTTCTCGTTTAGGAAATCACACCTAAGGATGTCACTGATAGATGTTAATAGAGACAGAGGTAGGGATGAAAACCTACAATGAAGTGGGTCTGATTAAAAAAAAAAAAAAAAAGATAATTTTTAAAAGCGCCATCGAAACCGAAGGCATTAATAGCTAGACTGGCTCTTTAGGCAGACCTGAATTTGAGATGGATTAAGCTACGTGTAATACCTCATGGCAAGAAAATGACATTTCTTCTCTACTCTTGCTTTCCTTAGGGAATGTATGAATGGGGAAGTAGAGTTAGTAACTCAGGTTTGGCTTTCCCCTCAGTGACAAAAAGTGGTGTTTTCTCAGTGAGCCCACTGGGCACTGGCAGTTTCTTAGTATTTTGCCAGGTCAAGCCAAGGAGTTCCCAGGTACACGGTGCTCGCTTAGCATGCCACCCAGGGTCTGGGCAGTCTGCGTGGGGACATGCACGTTTTACATAGGATTGAAGTCCAAGTAAGCAATTAACTGTAAAACATCCCTATATCCATCCGTGCCTACTGAAGTCTTAGGGCAGGCATAGAATTTGGCTCAGCCTGTGCAGGGAAGGCAACAAAATGCGATTGTGATGCCAGTGGTGAAATTCTTACTGACATCAGCAGGGGAATGATTTGCTCTTCTCTATGACTGCAGTCAGAAATGAATCCCTGATTGGCAGCCTCCAAAGAACTCTGTTTTCTCAAACATTACACAGAAAGGAAATATTATGCATAATATTTCAAACTGAGTTTTAATTGTTTCTTGAGTTAATTTCAGCATGAATACGCTACAGTCATTTCAGAGAAATGCTATTATTTCAGTTCTATTAGAGTGGTATTTTTGCTTGCCTTGTGGCACAAACTTTCTTAAAAGAAAGTTTCTTAAAGAAAGACCTCAGTAAATAGTTCTCTGGTATGAAGGAGGGGCATGAACCTGTAAGAATTTAGTAACTATTTAACAGAAATACTTTCCATTAAGGAAAAGCTGGAAGATTATTATGCTAATAACAGTCTGGATGGTGCCATTCCATGTAGAATTCCCATAGGTATTAATGGAAGTTTTGTGCTAAATCAGCAGTAGTTTTAGGTAGTGGATTGCAAAAAAGGATATGCTGCCCAGCAGGATCTTAATCCTTTTGCATTTACTTAGGCAAACTTTGTCTTTGAAATGCTTTTGAAATCTGTCCCAATTGTCAGCAGGAGTCATGCCTGAGTAGTATTACAGGATCGGGCTTCAAATACAAGGGCAACAGAATTTAAATATATTAAGCCAGATCTTCTCTTAACCCTGAGATGTAGAATGTGGATTAGAGGAGGAAAGAGTTGTAGCTTTAGCTCGTTACTTCTTGTCTTAGCCACCACAGACTGATTTCTCACATGTTCGTGTACTGTTTTGTTTTCAGGGACAGCTCTGTTGCTTAGACCAGGCTGCTGCAAGGATGGGGCCCCTGGAAGCAGTAGGCGAAGAAAACCAGACAGGTGAAATGAAAGCGGAGCCGTTCACCAAGCTGTACTTGCCGAGATACACCACACCGCTCAACGAATTGGCTCTAGACCCTAAACCAGAACTGAAGGATAGCACAACGCTAGTTGAAGTGCAGATAATCCTCATCTTTGCTTACTGCTCCATCATCCTGCTGGGGGTGATTGGAAATTCCCTCGTGATCCACGTGATCATCAAGTTCAAAAGCATGCGCACAGTGACTAACTTCTTCATTGCCAACCTGGCTGTGGCTGACCTGCTGGTGAATACATTGTGCCTGCCCTTCACTTTGGTTTATACGCTGTTGGGTGAATGGAAACTGGGCCCGGTTTTGTGCCACCTGGTGCCTTATGCCCAGGCTCTTGCTGTGCACGTGTCTACTGTTACTTTGACTGTGATCGCTTTGGATCGGCATCGCTGCATCGTCTACCACTTGGAAAGCAAAATCTCTAAGCGGATCAGCTTCCTGATTATAGGAGTTGCCTGGGCAGTCAGTGCCCTGTTGGCAAGTCCTCTGGCCATCTTCCGTGAGTACTCGCTGATTGAGATCATTCCTGACTTCAAGATTGTGGTCTGCTCTGAGAAGTGGCCAGGGGAGGGGCAGCTCAATTATGGCACCATCTACAGCGTCTCCATGCTCCTGATCCAGTACGTGCTGCCTCTGGTGGTCATCTCCTATGCCTACGCCCGTATTTGGACCAAGCTCAAGAACCACGTTAGTCCTGGGGCGGGGAATGACCATTACCACCACCGGCGGCGGAAAACCACCAAGATGCTGGTGTGTGTGGTTGTGGTGTTCGCTGTCAGCTGGCTGCCATTTCACACCTTCCAGCTAGTCAGTGACATTGACAGTCAGGTGTTAGACCTGAAGGAATACAAACTGATCTACACAGTGTTTCATGTCATTGCCATGTGCTCAACGTTTGCTAACCCTCTTCTCTATGGCTGGATGAATAACAACTACAGGACGGCCTTCCTCACGGCCTTCCAGTGCGAACAGCGGATGGACTCCATCCACCCTGAAGTATCAGCAGCTTGCAAAGCCAGGAAGAAGCTAGAAGCAAAGAGGATTCAATTCCCCGGAGACTCTTTCACACAACCTACCAATGTCTAAGATGTCTGACTTTAAAGAAGAAATGAATATGTTGTGGACAAAGGAATAAATCCATTTTGACACATGCATTTTTAATGCATAGTTTTATTCATAAACGGTGAAAGAAAAGTAGCAGGAAAGTCCAGGCAGGTGGTATGATTTGAGGGGAGTTGATTGGCATCAAGAGTATGTAACTATACAACTGTAAGGAAAGAAAAGGGAAAGACTTTGTTTGTGGCTGTCTCTAACAAGGTAAGAGATGCTCCCATCCCTCCCATCTCTTTTTGACAAGCCTAAATGACAAAGGCAGAGTTTGCTGGTGTTGCTATAGGAAGGCAAACAGCTGATTTGTAGCACAGTAATACTGATGGTGTGAGCAGGTAATTTTTATATTGGATATGGAGATCAGGGAGAGCAGAAGTCTGCCAGAAGAATGAAGCCTGTCAGGGGTGAGTGGGCTGTGCTGGTTAAAGCTCAAACTTTTCAGACCCCTTCTCTCCCACAGGCAACTTTTGCGAAGATAAAGGCATTAAGAAGAGAAATATGTTACTGTTTTTTGACTTGTACTGAAGTACTTCAAACCAGAGCATTTGAAATGGATTAGGGAAAAAAAGAAAAAAAAAAAAGGAAAAAAAAAACCCAAACCCCACCCAAACAACAGATTAAATGTGAAGAAAGGTCAAGTTTCTACATAAAATGAAATGTGGGTTTTGGTCAATCAAATGGGGCAAAAAGTCATTCCTTAAGAACGGGCTGTGGTTATGCTGGTGAGAAAATTGCAAGCCTGTGACCTGATCAGTCATTCCCTGCAGATCCCTACCTTTCATTCTGTGCTGGGAGCAGCTCGCAAACACAGTGCTTTAAAGCGGCATTTGAGGGCAGGGGGTGCAGGCTCAGGTCTTCTGTGAGCACTTCATAAACTGCCAATATTTTAATTTTCTGGACCTGCTTAAATGTCTAATGTGTTATTAACTCCACAGGCTTTGAATTGTTGCTGCTTTCTCCCGGGATAATAAAACAGCAGATAATTTTGATCCTCTGGAAAGGCTGCTAGATGGTAATGTGCTTTTCCTTATTGTGGTTTTATGACACACACTCATCTCATCTTGGAGCTTTTTTCATCTTTAGCCTTTGTAAAAATTAAAAACATCTGAATGACTGTAACCTAATAACAGTATGCTAGGTTTATGTGATAACTTATCGGTTATTCTGCATGCTGTAGTTAATAGTTAAATTCCTTTTTTGCTCAGGTATAAAATTTTAATCTGTTTACTGTGTTGTATACAGCAATGTTCAACTCTTCTGTGTCTTTGTTTAGCCTCTTTGAACTCATTAAAGAGATGAAGAAAATTTCAATCCATGTTTATTCCAAGCTGCCCTGTTGCTTATCTAGAATAAAAATAAGTGTGATACTTTCACTTGGAGTCTCTTTTCACAGCTACGTTTCAGCTGCCTCATTTATTTTCTCTCCATTTTTCACTGTTCCTAAATCCACTGTGTTCTCTCTTACACATTAAAAACCAACAAAACTCCAGTACTGAAGTGTTAGCTATGTAATGAATGGTATCAGACCTTTATCAAGTGGAGAAATTAATCTTTGTGTATGCAGTATTTGGCACCATCCTTTAAATATCCATGAAATCATTTGGACTTGGATTTTCATGAACAAAGAAGGGAGGTCTGGAGAATTAGCTAGTGTTTACTCAAGCAGGAAAAAGTATCCATCATTCTTAAACTGTTTTACAAAAATGGATTAATTCTCAACCATGTTGAGAACATGATATTGTCTACAAGTTATTTTTGTCTGACTATTAATAATATCCAGAATGTAAGCTCAAAACTGTTATGGCTGAAGAAGGATTACAGAAGTGTGGGATTATTATGGACATCAATCATATGTATCAGTTACAGTTGACTCTGAACCCTTCATCAGAAGTATTATTGCCACAAATAGCCTCCTTTGTTTAAAAAGGAAATGGTTTAAAAGTTCTGTTTCAACTCTTTTAAGCCTGTTAGAGTGTGGTATACAGACAGTTTTGAAGTAACCATGACAGCATGTGCTAAAGCTGTAATTGCTGGGCTAGTTCTCCATAATTTTAAGGCTGCTTTATGTCATCCTGTATAAAAGTGATTAATTACAAATTATCTTTCAGTCTATTTCATGGTATCTTTATTTTACTGCTTCCTGAGCTTTCTCTGCAGCCATTGTCTTGAGCCAAAGTTGATGCACTAATTTATTGCATAGCTTTTTCTCTCTGCCGTGTGGAGGTGATGGCTGGGTCAGTGCCTGCTTCAGGGTCACAGACCTCTGCACAGTGTCCCACTGCATGGCACGGATTTTCCCATGGGCACTTGAAGATGGGATGTGGAAGAGCCAGCACGCACAGCCTGCCGTATAGCTTAGTCACTACTCGGGACTTGGCTCCTGCATGAACACAGCTACGCACTTTAGTACCCCTTCATGTTGTAGGAAAATTAGGCATTTTCTCACCAAAAGCAATGAGGTAGCAACATCCCTCAGAGTTGCCCCAAATCCCAGCTGTCAGAAGGATGTGGAAAGCCAGGGTTTGTCCCCATTTCCTCCTAAGGGAAAGTGAACCTGTAAGCAGGGCTCTAACCACTGGACTCAGGAGTCTGCAGGGGAGCCTCTGCTTTGCCTGAAATAGGAACTGGAATCCAGGTCTCCCCATTCACCTGTTAGTGCTTTAATTAGTTTTTGTAAAGGCACTATATTCTTTTCCCGTTGAATAGGTACAAGTTTTATACAAAGCCATAGAATACCAGCATCAACTCTCATTTAAGAATTTGCAAGCAGGCGGTGGGGCACCCAAAATGAAATGTCATCGCTGATTCAGAGCAAGAATTTGAGCAAGCGTGCCTCAGTTCTCAGGAGCGTGACCTAGCCAGCACACTGCAGCCTCTCCTGAGGTAGCAACACGTGTCTTTTTAGAGCTATTCTATTGTATATAAAATAACTAAACTTTTAATATCATGATTTTATGGGCAGGTGATTATGACCTTTGTGTGGTGCTTGGGTTCTGGGCCAAGGATATCAAAACCAATATAGACAGAATTTAAGTTAGCTCCCCCATATTCTGCATGAGTACTTCTACTGTAAAGATGCCGTGCTGCAGGCAGGAGGAGAGCAAGGAAAGTAGCACCGTGCTAATCTCTGGGTGGGTCTTACTTTGGGCTCTCATTTGGGGTTGGCTTATAAAAGGGAGACCTATCCACCGCATGGATCCCATCAGAGGTAATCTAGGATCCTAGCTGCTCAGCACTTACTTCTGGGACTCGCTGGAAGAACACATTTTGATGCCTTGCAAATTTTACCGGCAGAAATGTGTCTCCAGGCTTAGGCAGCAGGAGAGTACTGTACGCCACATACTTAGATACGTACAGATGCACCCGTACATTGCTGGCACAAGCCAGGTCAAGCCTGGTGGCAGAAGAGCTGCACTCGTGCACTCTCCTGAGGCTTTCACGCTTTGCCTCAGAGGAGGACATAGCAGCTTGGGACCAGCACTGCAGGCACAGTGCCATGCTGCTGCCGGACAAGTGTTAACAGTCATGTTGCCTGTTCAGGGCTACAGCCATTGGGCCACAAGTGGAGAAAGGGATATAATCCTGAGTAAGTTTGCCAGGCTCTAATAGACCAGTGAAGCTGGGTTTTTGGTATGTGGGGACGGTGCTGAACCCTCTCAGCTAGCCCTATGAGTAAATAGTCTTCACTGAGAATTGTGCTCTCCACGTAGAGCAGCAGACTATAAGCAGAAAATATATCATTGTGAATCTGACAAAAAAATAGGTTTGAGGGCATAAGCAATCAAAATAGAGGGACTAAGCCTGGACAACAAATGGGTTTAGTATACATATCTATTTATATGCAAATTGTACAGCAGAGCTATGCAAGAGCTGTTTGATAAAGTTAAGTTTGTTGGAAATAATTGTTGCCCCACAGTTGGTATAACCATGTCTTGTATAAAATGTGTAGTGGACATACATACATTGCCAAAATATTAGTAACTTAAGTTAGATAACACTAAGAGTAATAACTGAATGGAAAATACTGTCTGCATTTTATCTGTCAGATCACAAAAGAACCACTGAATTCACAGATTAGTATAATCCATTTCCTTGCTTCATAGTTTCTGAACTCCCTCAGGGATTTTTCTTATATTAATCCAGATAATGACCTTAAGGGATGAATTTTGTCTTTGGATCCCTGAATTATTTGCCTGGTGCGGTCATTATAAATGCCCCTCCAGAATAAGGGAGTTACTTTGTGCCAAATTACAGATTCTTTGCCCTAAGAAGCTAGGACATGTACGTAAATCTATGCAAGGTTAGTGTTGCTGAAGAGCCATGTTTTTAATACTGCAGTATAAATGCTTATTTATCCAATCAATAGTGATTTTCATATCTCATCTTCATTTAAAAAAATTAAATTGGATATGATTTTAAAAGAAAATTAATACAAGGGTAGTGAGGAAATCTGAAGCTGCTAAAACTGGAGAAGTAAGAAAGTCAGAGGATGAGCAGCTACTTCAAGAAGCAAGCAAGAGAGAGCAGGAACAGGGCTAGTGAGGATGTAATTGATTTATAGACTTCCCTTCTTCCCTTAGTCTAAGCGGTGAGAGAAACGTGTTAAAATGAAACCAGGGCAGATGAAGACACAGATCAGTTGTATGCACAAAGGACAGTGTTGCCCAGGGAAACTGAGGAACTTTGAGAAGAACTTCCCATGATCATTTGAGCCTTAAAGTTCACATCATGTTCTCAAGCAAGTAAACCTGTGTCTGTACATTATTTCACCTAAATGCAACATAGGTAAACAGCTCCGTACTGATAATGTATCAGAAGCAATGGATGTGTTATTAATTCTATCCAGAACATGGGATGAATAATGCATACATACTCCTCATAAGCTCATTTCGGATGGGATATATGAAAAAATTGGTGCTTGCGTTAAAATCTTTCCCCTCTCAGGTTTCACTGAGCTCCTCTGGAAGGAGAGAGCT